GGGTGCCAGAATTGAATTATTTATGTTAGACAAGCTGTTTATAGTTTGGAAAGAGGTGCTTGATGAAGGCTTTTTAAAAACACTAGAGTGATTATTGTAAGTAAAATGGTTGGAGCTATGATTTTTAGGTGTTTCGATGATTTTTGGAAGAGTGCCGGTGCTTGAAGTGACGTTACTGATTTTGTTTTCAGTTGATTTAGTTTATTATGGCTTAGTGAAAATCGAGATTTATATATGAATTGATAATTTATTCTATTAGGGTTGGGTAACTGTGATGCTCTCATGTATGGATTAAATGGGGTATTGACGTCTAGTTTTGAAAGATCTTCGATAATTTCCATGTCATTCGTTAAAAGCTTACTAATTTCTTGTTTGAAGTCTGCGATGGTTTCTTTTTGCTGAATGGCACCCTCCTGACAAATCTCACCTGAGATCTCATCTGATATCTCATGTGATTTCTCACCTGAGATCTCAGGTGAGATCTCATGCCAAATTCTTATCTGAGATCTCATATCAGGTGAGATTTCGGAAAGAAAAAAAAATAAAAAAATTTTGTGCAACGATTATAATTTATGCATCAATAGAATGATCACCTAAAATATCAACAGTTATAGGAAAAAAAAAATATTCGGCTGATATGGGCGACGAACTCGAGCCCCCAGATTATCAGACAAGCAACTTACCGCTTGGCCAGAGTGGATGAGATACAAGTTTGACAATTTACGACTATATAAAGTGTAAGTACCATGTTTTATTGTTTTTCTTATTCACAACTGAATCATACAATTATTAATAGATATAATTTTTCCCCATCTTAATTCTGATAGTTAACCAACTAGATTATATTCAAGAACATTATTTTCTTTACAAACAATATTTTCTCTCTCAAAGTTACTCTTGAGGGGATTTATATCCAAGTAAGGCATAAGTTTTTGATAATTATTACAAATGTTTATTTAAATGTTATAATAAAGAAAAACTACAATATAAAACAGGGGGACTTGATGTGTTGTGAATAAATTATTTTTTAAAAATCCAAATTACTTGCGTGTATATTATCTT